ACATATATTGGTTATCCTGCATCCGAATGATAAAATTCGGGATGCGGATGCTGTTGACAATGTGGTGTGTGCCGAGAATCCTCCGGAAGGGGAATTGAGAGAAAGGGTGACCAAGTTCATGTTGCACGGAATTTGTGGTGCGGAGAAACGTGACGCTCCCTGTACGGAGGATGGAGAATGTACAAAAGGGTTTCCGAAAGACTTCATTTCAACAACAACATTCAAAGACGAACAAACGTACCCTTCGTATAGGAGAAGGAAACCAACTGATGGTGGTTTTACGGTTGTTCTGAATGGAGTCGTTTACGACAATCGGCGTGTAGTCCCATATAACCCGTACTTGCTAATGAGGTTTAATTGCCATATAAATGTAGAATATTGTGCTAATATCAAGGCGTGCAAGTACGTGTATAAGTACGTGTACAAAGGGTGTGATCGTGCTATGGTTTGCGAGCAAGATAATAATGCGTCCATCGACGAGGTCAAATTGTATCAAGATATGCGTGTTGTAGGTGCATGCGAAGCATGCTGGCGTCTATTTGAGTTCGACGTTGCGGAACAATGGTCTGCGGTTGAAAGATTGCCTGTGCATCTCGAAAACATGCAAAAAGTGCAATTTGAACCTGGCACTGAGCATGACGTTGTTTCGCAAGGGCCCCCGAAAACAAAATTGACGGCATGGATGAAACACAACTCTTTGAACGAGCATGTTCATAAAGAGGAGCTTCCTCTGTATGCAGAGATCGTAAATACTCATGTGTGGGATAATAAGAATAAGAAATGGAACCGAAGAAAGCGCGATCTTCACGGTGGTCCTTTCGAAAAGATATCTCGATTGCATCACATGCGAATCGTGGAAGGGGAACGATTTTATCTGCGCCTGTTGCTAAACCATGAATATTCTCGTGGGGTGTGCTCTTTTGTCGAACTTCGTACGGTGGACGGAGTCGAATACGATTCTTTCCGATCCGTGTGTCTTCGATTAGGCCTTTTGCAAATAGACGACGCATACGATCAATGTATAGACACGGCCGCGGCGCATTACATGCCTGAAGAAGTCCGTAAAATATTCGTTATGCTTCTTGCATTTGGTCCAGTGAACGATCCGGTTCGTTTTTTTGGACGACATTGGGATAAGATGTGTGACGATTTTCAGTACCGCAACGGCTCTGAAATTATTCCCTCGAACATTTTACAATCGTTAGTGTTATTCCATCTAGATCGTATTTTGCAAGAGTCTGGAAAAAACATCCGTCAATTTTGCCTTCATTATCCGATACCCGACGGGGAAACGATTGTTAAGAACATAACGAGACATTACAAAAACAGAACGGTATCCTCGATTGTAAATGATGAGTTGTCGTATAATCCGATTGAAATGCAACGTAGATATGAGACTAATTTTCGACGTCTTCGTCCACGTCAACGAGTGTTGGTGGAAAGAGTCGTTCGGGCTGTGCAAGAGAAAACACCGTTACGTGCTTTTGTCGATGCACCTACAGGAACAGGAAAAACTTTTTGCATTGAAACCATTTTAGCAGGCATTAGGTCCCATTCTGGCATTGCATTGACTGTTGCATCCAGTGGGATCGCGGCGACTCTTTTAACAGGGGGTCGAACGTTTCACTCACGATTTCGTGCACCTTTGAAACCTGATAATACGCGTCCCTTCTTGATTCCGAAACAAAGTGATCTTGCAGAGTTTATCCGTCGTGCAGACTTGATTGTTTGGGACGAGGCTCCGATGAGTAACAAGTTTCACTTGGAAACTCTTGACATTACGCTTCGGGACCTCTGTAACAACGACGAGCCGTTTGGTGAAAAAGTTATACTTCTTGCTGGGGATTTTAGACAGGTTTTGCCTGTTGTGAAACACGGATTGCGAGTGCAATAAATTGATGCGTCCATGAAAATGTCGCCTTTGTGGAAACTTTTTGAGGTTCATCAACTAACCGAAAATATGCGAATCTTAAGTTTGGGGAATGATGAAATGGTATAAATGTATGGCCACTTTTTGATGCGAATTGGGAATGGTGACCATCCTCATGTTGTTCCTAATGAACCTGCTGCGGTCAGATTGCCACGTGAGATTTGTACCGATAAACCGATTCATGACTTGATTTCATGGACGTTTGATGATATGTCCAACCATGTGGGGGATGCCGATTATTTCTTGCCTCGATTGATTTTA